TTATATTTATTTGTTTAATATTCTTATGTTTAAGTTTAAAAAATATGTTACCACTGGTTAATAAAAAATGGGACCAGTCCTTATCATACGCGTTTTTGTTGACTATCATTTATAGTTTGACTTGATCAAGACTTTTTAAGATTCCACACTAAAAATAAAATAATAAAAGAATTATCCAATATTGTATCGTGTCGATATCGGTATCGGCAGCAACATCGGTATTGCATCAGAAGTGAAAATACGATACTGGCTATCATTTTTAGACTTTAAGATCCCAAACTTGGTGTTTCTTGACTCATAGTGGGATCCTGACCCCAACTTTGGGGACCACTGGTTTAAATTTTACATGGTTTCATTTACGGATGCACAGATATGAAAATTTCAGCCAATATCGATATCCGATATAATTATTGCTGTTATGGCCGATAACCAATATTTACCAGTATTACGCAAACACACAAATTATATTATACATATACACACAAACACATTTGAGTCTTTTTTTGATACCGTAAATAAATAACCAGACCTCTGACATGGCTCTACTTCAGCTATTCCTGGCTACGCAGCGTCAATATCATTGTCATGATCAAACGGTTGTCGCTCAGCCATCCATCTCCACTCCTAAAACAGAAACATAAAGATAAAAAGTTGGAAATCAATATTGGATGTTAATATTGGCCCAGTTTTACGTATCGGACCGATACCGATATTCTAAAAAATGACCAATATCGGCCGATACCGATATTAATGCCGATTTATTTTGCATCCCTAGTTTCATTTACATAAAATGAAATTTTTACTGTTGTAAGTCAGAATAATGCTTGAAAAATGGATTTGATGTTAGGGCATTGTGGGAAAAACCTTTCAAACATACAATTTAAAAGTTGCTATTTTTGAATATTAAAAGACCCCTGCATTTGAAGTGAAGATTCAACAATCTGCTGGCTTCTTTAGGTTGATAGTTTTTCGTGTACAGTGCCCTGAGATGACGTTTGTTGTGACTTGGTGCTATATAAATAAACTGAATTGAATTTTATTGAATTTTGTCTATGTGATAAGATTTTACTTTTTTTTTTTACATTTCCCGATTCTTATTTATTAAATAATGGATAAATTGTTCATTTCAAGTTTAAATTTATGGTAAATGGCCACAATCCTGCATTTATTCTTTAAAAATTCTAGCATTTTACCATCAAAATGGGAACTTTCTTATTTCCGAACTTGATGAAGCAGTCATTGATGTAGCCAAATGCACTCTTTATTTCTTTTCCACTTCCCTTGTTCCTTTTGAAGTCTCCCCAGCTGATCCCTGACCAGGAAAATACATCACAGCACTGACATCCACTTTTCTGCCCAGCTCATTTTGTTTGGAGGTCATTGTGCCTGCTTTATTCCACAAATAGATCCTAGCTGGTGCTGCCTGTTGTGTTGCCCGGCAGCCATAGTGCACGAGTGCGAGCCCTCTTTTTTCGCTAACAGCTGTTTCCTGCCTGCACTCAGCTCCCCCTCAAAGAGAGRGACTACTTTTTTTTCTTTTTTTCTGAATGGACTTGTTGTTCATTGTGTCCAGTGACTTTTGTTTACTTGCACACGCACAAAGCCAAATCCCTAATCTGTCCTCCTCTCTCCCTGTCGTGTGAGGGCTTCAGAAAGCGTCGCCCACGAGCAGGAGGCTAGTGGGGCTGGGGGGGGGGGGCGGGTGTTGCAGAGCTCCTACTTTGGAGCCGGAAAGGCCGGCGGTGTGTACAAGTGTGCGCGCGCGAGTGTGTTTATGTGGAACCGGACCTGACCCACCGTTCACAGCCCACTGACTTAACACGTTACTGAGGCAACCACCCCAGTTGGTGCGCTACGCCACATACCAGACAGACACATGTAGGAGAAATTATGGTATGTCTGCAGCCAGGCCTAATCCCGACATAACAAGCAGAGCAGTGGTGCCAAGTTTCAGCTATCAGATGTCTCCAGCTCCTTTAGGTCACTCAGGAGGCTTAGGTAAAGAAACAAAAATGCTTTATTGCTTTCCTTTTTTAATGCTCAGTTGTCACCCGGGTCTTAAGGAGCTCAGCGTTTATCCGCTCAATCAGAAAAGATGTGACACCTTTATCTGACCTCTGAAAACATTTGATTTTGTTCACGTTTCATTTAAAAAAAAGGTTCTTAAAACACTGTCGTGTTTTTAGCTTAAAAGCCTCTCAGCCAGTTTCAACAGTCTGCTCATGGGGCCCAGTGTAAGTTAATACTAACACACTTTAAAGGGACGTTACTGTGTAACTCTACTGGGTTTGTTTACTCACTGTGTGGCATGTTTTCTATGGAAAACTCTTGGCTTCAATAGATAGATAGAATTTATTTAAAACAGGGACAACATAAAGTATGTGTTAGCCATGAAAGGAAAGATGCACTGTATCAGGTTATAGCTCTGGGTGCTACTTTCCACCTGTAGTCCCTGACCCAGCCCACACAATATTATAAAAGGTAATTATATATATATGTACTGTATATAAAATACAAGAGCAGCTGGATGCTATTCACACAGAAAAACACAATTAAAAAGCACCATAAATATACAATACAAGAGCATACAGTCATAGTCAATATAAAATCAATTCATAATATCCATACTCCCAAAAAGATGTCATCATAGACACCAACTCACTTATTAAAGACAAACATTAAAAAAAGACTGACCACTCAATAAAGATGTAAATCTTCAGGCAGATAAACATACCTACAGTATCCAAAGCATAATCACTCTTCAAAAGATTCAATAGATTTTGAGTAGAGTTGCCTCTGACACATTCATCATGCAGATACACTGCATTAGTCTCTATGCAAACATATTTTTATTTATTTTAATCTATCACAAACTCATCCCCAACTCTTTAGCATTTGCTCAAGTTTTTTTTTTAATGGTCGAGCCAATTAACTCATCCTGGCTGTTATCTGACTTGAATCAGTTTTATCTGAATGACTCATSTAACAACTACACGTGTAGGTGTTTTGGTCTAAACTGACAGTCGCAACTCCTCAATAGCTTAGTTTYGCATCCAGGCTGCTGCAAAACAAGTTAATGTGTTTAATCTTTTCTTAAAGATGTACAGGTTACAGTGGACACATTTTTATTTCTTAATACCTGAATTTGGATAAAACAAATCTCCACAGTCAATACAAGAGTGTTAAAGGAAAGTTAAAGTATAAAACCATGTGTTCAGAGTTTGGGTAACACTTTATAAATAACTACACCTTAGTTAGCCTTACTTAATCATTAAGAAATGGTTAGTTAACATTGAAATCATCGATACTTAAGGATGATTCATACTTTATACACTATAAATGAACACATCTATGAATGCTTTACCCATAAAGACTAATTACATGTCCCACATATAGTGTGAAAGTAGATTTAAATGAGCATTGCAAACATTTACACACAGTATAATGAATAGATAATTCATGAGTTATTCATGAATATGTTGGTTTTGGAAGTATTAACCTTTATGGGTAAAGCATAAGCGTGTTGATTTATAGCATATTAAGTATGATTCATCTTTAATTAACTAGATACTGCATAGCAGTATCATATGTGACCCCCTTTTTAGGTGGAGCCCCCTCCTCTMTTATGGGGTCTCATAAAACGGTTGGCTTGTGCTGTGTAGGTTGTGCTTGGTGAATCCCTAAGTTTTATTTTATTTGTTTGTTTGTTTGTTTGTTTTGGGGGGGGACTCATTGGTGGGCCCGATGGATAGCCCTT